GCCGCATCAAGAAGGCATCTGTCACTTTACTCGCTGCTTACAGCTTACACACAGTAGAGGGCACCCCTTCTGGGGTGCAGTTCTACCAACCGTTGACAACTGCACACAGGTGTGTAACCAGGACCTCAATCACAAAGCAGCTCTGTCCCCAAGCAGGCCCTCTGTGGTCCAGCCTTCCTTTCCTCCACCCCAAACCCCGGCCACCACTGTGCTTCCTGCTACCGTCAGCAGTAGTGACGGTAATGGGACAATAATCTGCCCTTTCCAGACTGTCCCAGAAACAGACTCACAATCCACGGAATCTTGGGAGTCTGGCTTCTTTCACTTAGCATGATGCACTTGGGATTCACCCGTTTTGGGGGAGCACTGACATTTTTTTTATTGCTGTGTAGTTAATGCTACTGTATGGATACACCCCTCTGTTCATCCAATCACTAGCTAGAAACGTGGGTTATTTCCAGTTTGGGGTGGCTATGCATAAAGGCACTGTAAATATTTGCACAGAGCCATTTGCGAAACATGTTTTTATTTCTCTTGAGTAAGCACCTCAGAATGTGTCTGCTGGGTAAACCGAGAGCCTGTACCATTTGCACCCCCTACTGGCAGCACATGAAACTGCAACTTGTCCTCATTCTCCCCGGCGCTTAGTTTGGTAGTTTTTATTTCATTATTTTTTTAACTTTTTTTTTTTTTAAATTAGAGAGAGAAAGAGAGAGCCAGCACACGCGAGCATGGGGGAGAGAGGCAGAGGAGACAAAATCCCAAGCAGGCTACACTCAGCGCAGAGCCTGACACAGAGCTCGATCCCACGACCCCGGGATCATGACCTGAGCCGAAATCAAGAGCTGGACACTCAACTAAGCCACCCAAGCACCCCTAGTTTGGTAGGATTAAAAAAAAGTTAAGCTCTTGAGTGGCTCAGTTGGTTGGGCGTCCGAGTTCGGCCTAGGTCATGATCTTGTCATTCCCGAGCTCCAGCCCTTGTCGGGCTCTATGCCTGGAGACTGCTTTGGATTCTGTGTTTCCCTTTCCCTCTCTCCACCCCTCCCCCACTCACGTGCGCTCCCATGCTCTCTCTCAAAAATAAACATGAAAAAATTTTTAAAAATTAACCTTTTATTTTAGTTGTACTAAAAATGTGTATTATACCTTGTGTGGCATTTTCCTACTAATTGGGCATTTTCATGTGCCTTTTATCTGTGTATATTTTTGTTAGAATCTTTTGTTCATTTTGGGGGGAAGTTATTTGTGTTAGTATTGAGTTTTGAGAGTTCTTTTTTTTTTATTTTTTTTTTAACGTTTATTTATTTTGGGGACAGAGACAGACAGAGCATGAATGGGGGAGGGGCAGAGAGAGAGGGAGACACAGAATCGGAAGCGGGGTCCAGGCTCTGAGCCATCAGCCCAGAGCCTGATGCAGGGCTCGAACTCACGGACCGCGAGATCGTGACCTGAGCTGAAGTCGGACGCTTAACCGACTGAGCCACCCAGGCGCCCTGAGAGTTCTTTATACATTCTGGTTAAAAGTTCTTTGTTAGATATGTAACTGGCAAATATTTGTTCACGGCCTGTGGCTTGTCTTCCATTCCCTTACCAATTTTTAAAACAGAAGTTTTATATTTTGATAAAGTCCAATTCATCAATTGTTCTTTCATGGATCATTCTTTTGATGTCATATCTAACAATGCTTTGCTTAACTCAAGATGACAAAGATTTCCTTATTTCTTCTAGAAGTTTTAGTGTTTTAGGTTTTAATTTCAGTGTACGACAGATTTGGGGTTAATATTTTTCAAGTTTAATTATATATTTTGAGACAGAGAGAAAGCACGAGTGGGGCAGGGGCAGAGAGAGAGAGGGAGGGAGAAGATCCCAAGCAGACCTTGAACTCACAAACCATGAGATCATGACCTGGGCCGAAGTCAGATGCTTAACCGACTGAGCCCCCCAGGAGCCCCCAGCTTCATATTAAATCCCCAAATCTGGTAGAGTGAGTCTTCCAGCTTCGGTCTTCTTTTTCAAAATTGTTCTGATATTTTAGTTCTATTTCGTTCACATGCTTCTGCTCACTGGGCCCCTTTTCACGGTTCCTCTAGGCAAAAAGATGGCAGTTTCTCCGAGTGTTTGCTGTCTATGCAGCAGCAGCAACTCTCACAGCACAGCCCAACAGCGGGTGGCCGGCCTAGGGCCAAAGCCATGGGGAAAAGAGACTGAAAAGTAGAAAACTCACACTTGTGTGGGTCACTGCTCCAAGTTTCAACTACCCTCACCAATCTATCTGCACTCCATAGTTTTTCTTTTAGTATTTTGTCCAGGTTTTTACCTGTAATCAGCAGGAGAGAAAGCCTGTAGGTGGCTTATTCTGTCACGGCCAGCACTGAACTCTTAACACCTTACTTTTCAAAAGGGAGGGGGAAGAAAGAGGAGAGGGCAGAGGAAGGGGGGTTGGCAAGGAGAAAAATCTGTGCTGAAAAAATAAGAGAAAAAGTAACATGTGTTTCTTTAGGCACTAATTTTGGGAAACATGTCCATTACATTGTTTTTTAGATATTTTTGTATGTTTAAATTTTCTCAAATATTTTTTTTAAAACCAGTAAATATTGAATATAGACACAAAAATTCTCAACAAAATGTGAACAAATGGAATCCAGCAATGTATTAAAAGGATTATATACCATGACCAAGTGGGATTTATTCCAAGAATGCAAGGCTGGTTTAAAATATAAAATTAACGACTGTAATATACCACATCAAAGGAACCAAAGACAAAAACTACACAATCATCTCAATAGATGCAGAAAAAGCATTTGACAAAATCCAACACCTCTTCATGATAAAAACATTCAACAAATTAGGAATGGAAGTAAACTCTGTCAACCTAATAGATGGCATCTCCAGAAAACCCGCAGTTAACGTCACACTCAACAGCGGAAGACTGACCACGGCCTGCCCGCAATCAGGGACGAGACAACATGGTTCAACAGAATGCTGCCAAGGTTCTAGCCATTTCTTAGGCAAGAAAATGAAATAGAAGGCATATACATTGGGAAGGAAGAAGCAAAACTATCTCTATTTGCAGAGGGTATGATTTTGCACAAAGAAAATCCTAAGGAATCCCTACAAGAAAACTATTAGATCAAATAAATGGCTTCAGGAAGGTTACAGCAAACAATATACAAATACCAACTGCATTTCTACACACTAGAAATGTATACAACCAGTCTGAGAATAAACTTAGGAAAACAATTACATTTATAATAGCATCAAAAATAGTAAAGAAATGAACAAAGGAAGCACAGAATATTGTTGAAAGAGATTAAAGAAAACTTAAATAAATAGAAATATATCCTCTGTTCATGGACTGGAAGACTTAATATTGTTAAGATGGCAATACTCCCCAAATTGATGTACAGATTAATTGCAGTCCCTACCAAAATTCCAACTACCTTCTACACGGAATTGACAAGCTGACCTTAAAATTCACATGGA